CCCCAAAACCCCAAAACCCCAAAACCCCAAAACCCCTTATGTCATAGATCAGAACAAAAATAGAAATACTAGAAAAAGGAAATCGAATTCAAATAGTACTCTCATTCTTATATATTTTAATTTTTCGTAATTTAATAATAAACTTTCAATTCACAATCATCATTGCACAATGAAACTTTTGATTTTGATCTCTATGCTGCTCATTTGCTTAGTGAGATCTAAGTTTATAGAGAGTTTCATTAGTAGGGATCTTCAAACAGCAACTTGTCCAAAACTCACTATCAAGGAATCTTATTAATTATCATACGGTTCAACAACCATTATACAACCTACTTACACAACAGTTTGCAGTGGAGTTACATATACTATCAATAGTGCATCAATTACTAATAAGGAAGGGCTTACTTCGACTGGAGCCACTAGAGGATTTAAAGTCTCTGATTGGTCTTAATTCCTTGCAGACTCCTATTATAATGTAACCATTAAAGTAGTTTTCAAGCATCCAAATCAATCAGAAGTAGAGGTTAATGACTATTTCTTTATAGTCATCGGAAGCAGTAATGTATTCAAATTTTACAAATATTCATTGAACTCTATAGATCCTCTTTAAGACAAAGGGAGCATTGGTGTATTCATATAATGAAACTTTCACAGTAGACTATTCTGATACCTTAGATGTGCTATACCCCAAAACAAGCACCTTAACTTATACTTGGGCCTGTATGAGTAATTTTGAAGGCTGTTCGACTCTTGGAGCTGTTAATAATTTTGATGAAGTCTCAAGAATCAAGACTTTCAAAATGCTCTTCGACTTCAAGTACGATTTCATTGTTACTATTAGGAACACAGCTTACAATAGAGCAGTTACTGATAGATTCTCAATAATGATAAAGTCCCCTTAAAGTTAATTTTCTTCAGATTCTTGTATAGTAATGGGAATGAATTATCTTGGTCTCCAATCTAGTCTGACCTGGCTCTAATCAAACATGATTCAATTGACAATAGACAGCTTGAACATCACTGATTTTAAAATTGGATAGCTATCATTCATAACAACTTAATGCTCACCAAATGATATTTTCCAAAGCCTTTCGACTGTATCTCAAAACAATAACCTGCTATTTAATGATCTGAAATAGTTAGAATTCAATCAAGCAAGTTTTTCTATTAAAAAAGAAACAATTTATGATGCTTTTCTAGCAAACAAAAACTAGGAATTAACTTTCTATTACTTTATGCTTGATGGTAATCAAATAGTCAGATATTAGTACATTACTATAAAATTATAATTAGATGACAAGTCTTTATATGCAGTCGCAAAGCAGAACTTTATTATAGTAGAAATGGACAAGATACTTTATCTAGATGGGAGTCTTTCCTATGATGCTGCAAATGCTACTAATACTAGATTCACCTATTAATGGAGTTTGCTCCAATAACCTAACACAGCACTACCATAGCAACAAAGATTAACTATTTACCCTTCTGATAGATCTAAGTGGGGTATGAACTCACCAGGAAGTAACTATACTTATTTATTAAAAGTGAGTGACTCAACTAAATAAAGTGCTTAAATTAAAATCATAGTCAAGATCAGGCCAATAACAGATAGCAATAATTGTGTTGTCATAAGTGTAAATGAAATTACTGACAATTTATTTATTACTGCCCCTTACCAAGAATTAGATTTCCTAAGTGTTATCAGTAATAAGAATTGCGGGAATACTAAGACAGGTGTAATAACTTGGTCATAAAATTAACTTCCTTAATAACTTTGGACTTTGAACATCAACAATAGAACAGCGACTATGAGTTCAGCATCATTATCATCTATTCCTAAATCATGGAATCTAACAATTACGGTTTCCATTCAATACTATTTGGGAACGAGTGAATACTAGTCATCGTATTCATTCAATCTATTTATACTAAGAGAATACTTATTCCCTCTAGTGGATCTTCAGACAACTATAAATTTTTAAGAATAAAATTTGAGATTAGATGCATCTGGGTCATATGGAACCTATGATGCATAAATTGGAAATAGCAAATCTGCTGTTTGTGAATGGAGATGTCCTAGTGTTGTATAAACTATTTGCGATAGAGCAACCTACTCATCAAATAATTGTGTTATGTCTCTTTCTAGCGTTTTAACATTACAAAGTTCCAGCTACTAATAACTAATAAATCAAGCCCTTCCCTTCTTTGTGAGTATTACAAAAGGAAATTATAAGAATAGTACTACTTCGATAGTATTCGTATAAGACTATAAAGCAACTGCTATTTGCTCTATAAACACAATTAAAAATTTCTCTCCTAATCAATATGCAATCTTCAATGCCTCATGCCCAACTGGAGTATAATCCTATAAGTGGTCAATTTAGGATTCAAGTGATAATGTTATTAGTGATATTCCCTCCGTACAATATGACCAATCATTTCTCTATATTCCTCCCTATGTGTTGAATAATTTTGAGCAGGTAAAGCTAATGGTATCTGTAAAATATTTAGATGGAACCTAGACTCAAGCTATAAACAAATATGTTAATTATAAGGGAGGATTTTAGATTGGTACACTCCTTATTAACTTCAATCAAGTTGTTTCATATCTTACCAATCTCATACTCACTCCTATCAATACTACATCAATTGCAACAAATAAAGCCAGATATCAAGTTAGAATCAAATAAATAGACAATCAATTACCAATTTATAGGACACTTGTATCTAATATGGAATTAGATACTTTAAAGCCATTAACTATTTAAATTCCTGTCTTGACTTATGAGAATGCACTTTACTTTGATGTGATGGATACTGAGGGAAATTACCAGACTATCAGATAGCCATTAAATTCTAAACCAGATATTCTACTTAATTCAGTGACAATGAACACTAGAGTCACTAATTTGCTGAACTCATTCAGCAATACATTCAATGAGACAGAATTTGAGCTCAATATTTATAGATTATGGATAACTTTTGATGCTTATGGAAGAGATCATTTCAACAATCAATCTTAGCCTGCTTAATTTTTTAGAAATATATCTGAGAATGCCACTCTCTATATGTACAACTATCTTATCGCCGATCAACGTTTGGATGATATCAGGGCTAGTGATAGAATTAGCTTGATTAAGCAAAATGTAATAGAGATAGCATGGCAGATGACTAAGAAGAATAGAGATATGAGAAATATTGATAATTTATATGAAATCCTCAAAATGGTAGTTAATGATGAGTTTTACGTTGGCAATATGATGCTTGATACAACAATAAGGATTCATTTGATTTTTTAGAATCTTTAAACGCTCAATTACAATTCAGTATACGATGCTATTCTTGTGTAAATGTATAAAAGTTTAGGATCTTTTATGTTCCAAAATTAGTATATAACATATAGTAGTCTTGATGGCTATTAAGTTCATGCCTTAAAGCTTAGCAATGTAGTAACAACTATTCCAGATATTACTGGCTATACTTTCAATAAAAATGTACTATTAAGTAAAGCAGGCAAAGGTGGTTTATTTTACGTAGTCAAAAATGACTCCTTCATTTTTGTTTAGTTGCTGAACTCCAACTACTAATATGTATCAGTCACTGGTCTATCAGCTGCTTAATCAAACAATGTTACATTCAAACTCTCATCGGTATAATTATAAAAGTATCTAGATGGAGGATTAGGAATATCTTGTGCATCTAAGGAAACTTTGTCTGGAACTTATTCAAATGTGACCTCTAAAATAAAAATTGTCTCTATAAATAACGATACTGGAGAAATATTGTGCAATGCTAATCATTTCAGTCTCTACACTCTTGTTACCTGGAATAGGCCAATAAGTTCAACCATAAACAATACAAACAATTCTACTGGAGGCAACAATCAGTCAACAGGTAACAATAGCACAAACAATATTACAAACAACACAAATAATAACAATCACACTGATTAAGATCAAGATGGAACTGGAATTGGAGGCAAGTGGAACGATACTTTAGGCCCATAGTAAAACATTTCAAACATAATGACATACTCAAAATTTGATCCATTGATATTTGAATAGCAGGCCCCAATGATGACATCCTTAGCAATTATAACCTTGCTTGTGTTTATAGCTATTAATCTTGGATTTTGTATTAAGTTCAAAACTGAACATCAAGATTATGATAATTCTGATTAAAAACCTGATAAAGTTCACTATGATAGCACAAAGTCTCCCTTAGCTAATAAATGCAATTTATTTAAAAGACTAATGGAGCATTTTAATCCTTATTCAAACTTATTCACAATATACAATTAGTATCTTCAGAGATGGGTCAGAAGTACTCTTGTTTAGATTTATTTTATGACTCTTTCACTAGTATTTGGGGTTAATAGTTCACTTCTAACTTATCATTTAAGCTCAATTGGGGAAGAAAGTCAAATTTAACTGATAGGTATTATTTTTATAGGAATAGCTCTATTTTCAATAATTAGACCTTGGTGCATCGAATTCTTTTATAAAATGCTCTATGAAGCCGGAGCTAGAGTATATATAATGGATAATACAGCTTAAGTTAGTAATGATCTGATAAATTAAGAAAAAGTTATATAAGATTTCGTAGCAATTGATATGAGTCCTAAGTAATTTAAATAAGATAATAGATTGAGTGATGTTATAAAATAATTTGACATTAATAACCGACAGCTAGATAGAAGTGACTTAAGTGGAGATGCAAACAATGTACCATTTTCACTGAGAAGGTCTTTAAAGCATAGTGATGATGAAGATGTTAGGTAAACTTTGCAAATGGATGATTCAAAGATTTCCTTCAATTAAGATGGCCAGAAGAAAAAGTTGTCTAAGTTAAAGAAAATGATAAATGACAAACCCTTAGCATTTAATAAATAAGAAGAATCTTTAAACTCCTTTAAATAAGCAACTTTTAACTATCCAAGTAAAATTGGACCTGAAGATTATAATCCATAGTCTTAGTCAAATTTTATGCCTTAGGATTAAAGCTTTAGTGATGAAAAATATAAAAGATTTGCAAAGCATGACAATCGGAATGATGATAATGATTTAAAACTACCAACTATAGATATTCATGGTGGCAAAAGAAAAATCATGGGTGTGACAGACTCTTATGAAAAATCTACACTTGATAGACCCTAGTAAGATAATCTTGAGAGTAGTTAACCAAAAGTAATTGAGAGAAATTACTTTGAGGAATTCAATCTGCTAGTAGATTAGTTTGACACTGTCAACGAAAAGATTCATTCAAAGAATGCTTATGATGATAATTAAAATGTTGCTTCTAATGATAATCTCATTTAGCCTACTATGTTTGAAGGAGGCTCAGAAGAGGAGGAAGAAGATTAAGATCATGCAGAACTTGATAGAGATGAGAGTGATAATGATGACATGACTAGTCATCGAATAAATCACAATGTAGAAGCTTTAAAAAGAACCTCACCTTAGTCAGATAACTAAGTAACTCTGAATTAATTCGTTGATGGAGGGCCTATTTAAACTAATCAAAGCTTGAGCAAAACTACTTATGATAGAATTAAGGGCAGCAAAGTTCCCATAGAAAATGAATATCATAGGAAAAAGTTAGATGAAGTCGTATTCAAATAAAAAATCAAAGAAAAATCACCTTTGTTTATCAATAAAATCATTGGAAAAGCAATGCTAATTCTGTGCTGGACATTACTTATAATTGGAAATATTTTTTCATTAAAGTACATGAGTCAGGAAAGGTTTATTGAATGGCTGATACTTTCACTTGTTGCATTTGTTTTCATTTAACTTGTTCTTGATCCACTTCTGTACTGGATTCTAGCAAGCATTATGGTTGAAAAAGAACAAATTAACTTCTTTGAAAATAATTTCAAGTGTACCAAATGTAGTGAAATATTCATAGTGCTATTTATTGGAAAGGCTAAAATGAGAGACTTTATGAGAATTCATGGTCCAAAAAATAATGACTTTGCAAGCAGAAATATGGATAATAAACAGTTATTATGATCCAAAATATTGATTGCATCTAGAATTAATCTTGATTAAAGTGTAACTCTTATGATTATTAATTTAATAATCTTATTTTAATTGATGACTCTATGGGGTTTTGGGGTTTTGGGGTTTTGGGG